ACCATAACAGTCCCGAGCAACTTTCCCCCAAAAGTTCCCAAAGTTTTCCCCCCTAGCTGCGCGGCAGCGTGACGTGAGTCAAATGAAGTCTGCGGTACTCACGCCACCCGCGCTCCGGTTTTGTCCCACAGTCCAGTAGCTCCCGTGGCGAGACGAGATCCAGCACGATTGGCAACGCAATAATTCCAAAAATGCAGCGATATATTCCAAACTGACAAGCCCACGGTTCTGACAGCTCCTGGCATGTGTCCCAGTTGGCATGTGACGTCACACATGTGCGCGTGTCCGTGCGCGCGTCCTTCTCCCCTTAAATCCCGTGCGTCCGGGGAGGGCGCAATAAACAGCCTGTTATGGCCTAAAATAATGATGCCACCTAAATATAAAGGACCAGACACAACAGAGTAATTTTAACAAACAAGCCTTTCACCCCAACTGAATGAATAGATTAGCGGTGAAGACTTAAGTGGTCTTTACACTATATACAACAATATACCAGTGGTGGGGCGTCAGGGGCTGCGAGGCCTTCTCTGCTGGCCTAAAAACATCTCTGAATCACAGACTAAAGTTAATTATATTATTATTAAATAATTCCAAATGGTCTGTCCGCTTCCTTTCATAGCTTTTCCGATGCTTGTGCTACTTCCAGATGTGTATTTTCATATTAAAGCATTTGACCAATCACATTTCAGCCATCACTTGTTGATAGGCAGAGTCAAAGTCAAAGAAGTGTCCCTGAGGCCTTCACAATCCATTCTACAGGCCCTGGAACACTAAATAAATGCCCGTGAAACTGTTGCTTCAACCAATCATATTTTGAGTTAGTGTCGCCAGGGCCTTCTAGCAGGCATACGGCAGCGTCACCAGAATCAGAGCCTGTGATTGGACAGTCAGAGAGCGGTCCAGCTAAAGCAGCAAACTGCATATGTAGCAGAACCAGGACTAAACCAGGTCTAAACCAGGACTAATCTTTGACTTGAGAGAGAGCGAACCCCCGAAACAACAGAGCAGGGTGTCTGCGAAGTGTGATTGGGCGACAGCTGCAACAAGCCCCGTGCAGCACAGAGCCGCCCAGTGTGCAACGGAGCCCTGGCCTTGGCGCGGTCCTTTCGTCTGCGGTCATCCAAGCAGGCTCTGTCCGTTCTCTCAGGTCCGATCATTATTTCATCCTCTCTGTCTTGGGTCACAGACACTGAGCTATAAAAGTCTATGGTCATGGACTGCAGGAGACCCTGCGCTGCACCAGGAACGTGGCTGCACTCATGCACAAGTTTCAAATGTAGAATATATATGTATAATCTCCGTGTTTTGGCTAACCTCTGCTTAAATGCACAGAACTGAATGTAATTATTTTATATACTTGGATTCCTCAAACAACCTTCACTTCTGCTCCTCTCCACAAGTGTCACTTTTTCCCCTTGTCTCCAGACTTTGCGTAGAGCTTACAGCAGGTCCCAAGTTGTCGTAAATATAAGCAAAACACAGTGCTTAGGATGAGTTTCATAAATTCTGCGGTTGGAGTAAAGAGCGCCTACGCAAGGATTTGTGCTGAAATGAGCTTTATAAATGACGCCCCAGATCTATGGAGAGGCAACCCCGCTCACAGTCAGAATGCCTGTTTTTCTAGGTATTTTTTAGCTATACAATCACCTGTAAGGTGGTACCACTATTTAATGTCAGGGATTCACCGCCTATTCTGACATCCCTTCATTACGACATGCCACTATTTAGACATGCTGGTATTCCGACACATTTTAGTATTGCTATTCCGACACATCATATGTGTGTTTTGATTGGTTATTTAATTAGGCTATATGGTGTTCTCCACAGATCGCCTACATGACAAAATGCATGAAACACAAAGGACCCATGTAGCCTCTGTTTCAGATTTGATATTTTCCTGAAGGCCGGGCTATGCTCTTTTTTTAAATGCATGACTGTTTTCCACAGCTATAAGTTAGGACATTTTCCCACTGTATATATATATATATATGATATCCTCTGTGGCCGAAGTATTCTCTGATCAATTGTTTAGCAACGGCTCAAATGTCTTATGATATATGGGAGCACTAAGTTTAATAGGCTGTCAGTGTTTCCCAAAGCCTGGGTCGTGACAGTCTTGAGACTTTAGCTGTTAAAGTTGAGACTTAAACTGCTGAAACTGTTCAGAGTCATGATCACTCAATCAACATTAAAATATCCTCATTATTGTTCAATAATGGTCAAATCCACCTTTATTTTGTGACTTACGAATAATAATAACATTGACTTATTAATAAAATAAAATAAATAAAAAAAACAACAACAATATGTCATGGGAATAGTTTATTTTTTTTATGACCCTCGCTTCCATTGACTTACATTAGAATATAGTGGCACTTCTGTCTGTAGCTGCTGCAGTGAGCGTCAACATTTTGGTCTTTAAATGCTCGTATTAACCCATTATGCATGATCCTGGTGTTTTTATTTCATGATTGTGTCTTTTAAAAAATCCTATTCCTAATATAGAGCCTGGCTCCAAATTGTCCCCTGTAACTGCTATTATTCGAGCTTCATTTGATATGGGTGACGTCCAGTAGCGGCAAGTGTGCTGCACTCCCTAACTTGACCTAGATAAAAATGAGTAAAGCCTTTTTGTATTAGGCTATATGTTTCATATTCTAACCAGTGTGGGTCCTTGGGCAAGTCCCTTTGTGCTACTGCCCACCTCATACAATGATGAGAGACAATGAAACTTACGAGATGCCGGCACAGACGTCGCCCGGCCACACAAGGTCTGCATTAGGTGCTGGGGAACCAGAGCACCTTGATGAAAAATGGGATACTGGAACACAGAGGAAATGGGCGAGATGATACTACTACCGTAACCCGAGTCAGAAGGGTTACATGAACAGGATGTGGGAGAGGTGGTTATTACAATATGAGAAGAGGTTATTACTAGAGCCCGACCGATATGGATTTTGTTGTGGCCGATATGAAACCGATATAATGGGAGTTGGAGCTGCCGATAGCCGATATAATCGCTGATATATTTAGTGATGTAAAAATTCAGTAAATCTTGAATTGTTTAAAAAACTTAGGTTTGGCTCTAGTAATTGGGTTTATTTAGGCAACATTTATTGTTATTCTGACTCTTTATGTCATATTTACAGACAGTAGATTGGCCTAATGGCATTTTTGCATCACATTCTAGCTACTAGTGATGGGTATTCCTTTTTTTTTTTTGGAGAACCAGCTCTTTTGGCTCGGCTCACTAAAGCAGCTGGCTCTTTCAGCTCCCAAGCGACTCTTGATTGTTTTGTTGCAAGCAGGACTAAACCAAAACTGAACCAGGACTGAAAAAGGACTAAACCAGGACTAAAACAGATTTAAACCATGTGTAAAACAGAACTAAACCAGAACTGAACCAGGACTGAGAGTCGGGACTCGGTCTCTCCCTCACTCGAGCCCAAGATTAGTCCTGGTTTATTCATTTTATGCTGAACTGCAGCCAAATATGCACTTTTTTTTTTTTTTTATCGTATGCACACGCAGATTTCTGAAAGTTTCGTTTTCAGCCGCTGCTGCTGTCAAACTACGGGTCTACATGCGGCTTGAAGAGAAAAAGTGAGAAAAAGAGAAAACATGGCTCCCAATAAGAAACATGCTCCCGTTGTTCGCTTCAAAGAGCCGGATCTAAGAGCCGCTTCGATCGCGACCGACCCATAACTCCTAGCTAGTAAATAAACTACCGCTATTAGCCTTTAGCCATAAAAACGTGCGTGCCGCGGTAATTAATTATATGCATAAATGTGGATCATTCACACGTCTATTCACAGCTCATTCACATATCAATGCAGGTCCAGGAACAAATATACGACCAATACAGTCACTTTACAATAGACCAATAGAAAACAGCCTGTTTATGTGCGGGAGCTACAGCAGCTAATCGCTAAAAACAAATTGCCAAAACTAGCTTCAAAGTCGATGTATTTCCAACACTCACCGCTCACACAGGCTCCTTCTCACATCACAAATCTGCACTAATAAAAGTCCTTTTAATCCAGACTCAAGCCGATTGTCCGTAAAAAGAAAATAATCTCAGTGTTGTGCACCGCTGCGGGTGTAAACAAACACACGTGAGTGAAGTGACGTGACTCTGGAGGTGTGTTTTATCGACAGTACGGACACACACACAGACAAATTACACCGCAGATAAATACTGGTGCGGAGCCACATATTAGGACATTTATCTGTCTGTAAATTGGATTAAATGAACATAATGTAGAGAGTCTAAGCTTTATAACGAGGTATAACATGCCCACGTGAAATATCGGCCCATATCAGCAAGCATATCGGCCAATAGCCGATATGTCTCCAGGTGCCCATATCGGCCAATAATATCAGCCAGCCGATATATCGGTCGGACTCTAGTTATTACGATACCCACAGTCCAAGCTAACGGCCAAACAACTAGTAGCTCAGTGTTTCAACATCTACAAACGGCAACTGCTACCAGTTGAAATATTGGCAAGATTTTCTGCAAGATCGGCCAATCGCCGATGTGTTTCCAGGTGCCCATATCGGTCAATAATATCGGCCAACCAATATATCAGTTGGGCCCTAATATATACAGTATATATATATATATATATATATATATATATATATATATATATATATATATATATATATATATATATATATATATATATATATATATATATATATATATATATATATATATATGTAGAATCTGTCATCAAATCCAGTGCTTCTCCCCGTTGCTTTAAACTGGGCTGATGTCTGTGGGCATTGCTCGGGTCACCACAAACGCAGTGCGCACAGGGCTTAACTTGTCTTGACACAGACTGGTGTAACTTTCAGATTTAAGTCAGAGGGGCGAACGGAGTCCATTTGAGAGAAAAACTCATCCTAAATATGCAGAATTTATATATTAAACATGAATGAAACAAAACAACTCCAGGTATGTTTTTGATGAAGAAACAACAGTATAACATAGATCAGAAAACAGAGTAATACAAGCTCTTTAATGATGACTCACTAATCACAATTTTATTTTTCTCACATTAATTAATCATAATTTTTACCTTATAAATGATGCAGACTTTAATCATTGGCATTACCACAAACACAAAACACTGTCCAATTTCTTTCTCTAAAGTCTGAACTCTGCTCCAAACTGCATGTTTGTAATGACAGAGGACTGGCTGTAGACGTCTCCACTAAAAAGACCCAAGTGTATTATTAATTATTAGAATATCAACCTCGATTAAGAACGTGTCTCTGATTCAGTTTGTTGAGAATGATCAGCTCACATATGCTCCTCTCAAACAGGTCGTTCATCTGCTTCTTCAGGTGGTGCACCTGAAACAAGACATGCATAGATATTTACCATAAATATTTAAAGGTGCGATGCGCAACTTTTCTGGTACAGAGTCCGCCACATGCTTGTCTCCATGGAGATGCTATTGCTTTGCCTGGAATGTTTCATGGTATGACAATTATCCTATCCATCTAGTGTTCATTCATTACAGGTGTTTCTTGCTTAGAATTTCAATAACACTTTATGCGAACATGGGCGACTCTTCACAGACCTGATTTGTAATGTAACATAGTGCTATAACCAGCTTGTCTCTCTTGTGACAAACAGGAGTAATCTGTAAAACAATTAAGTTAGCAGGTAACCGACATGTCCAGATATGTTAATGTGGACACCCAGTAGTAATGAACATGTTCTGACGGCAGAAATACTTTTGAACAGGTCAGAGGTTCTACATGTGATGCAACAATCCTGAAAAAAATTCTAATTGTGTTTGGTGACTCCTCAGATGGAGAAGACGTTGTACAGAGCATTAATGAAATCAGCATGAATGAAGCATAATGTAATAGAAAGAACTAAAACTGAATCCAACCTTCTTGCTGGTATCCATAGACCTCCACTTCACAGAGGGTCAAATACTTGTCTGTCCCTGGGATGAGCACGTTCACATACTGCCCCTCCACAGCTCCATCCAGTATGAAGGTTTTAGAGCGGCCTGCTGGGATGTGTGAAACTGTAGCCACTCTGAAACAGACAGGTGCATCATTATGTGTGTTATTTATTTATATTTAATCATAATTACATTTGGACACTCAAAGACGTGTTGCAGAGCATTAGTCATTCACTCCACACTGGTGGAGGTAACATACACAGCTGCCCTGGGGCAGAGTGACAGAAGCGAGGCTGCTAATCTGTGCAATCGGCCCCTCCCACCATCACCAACACTCACAGCACATTGATACTAGTGTGGATGAAGTGTTTTAACATCAGCACTAACCAGGCCCAGGCCTGTTTAGCTTTGCAGATCTGAGAAGATCAGGCTTGAATGAAGTCAATCAAGGCTAGCCATTATAGCTGCTAATTTGTGAGCAACAAGGCACATTAGCTGTCAATCAAACCTGCTGCTAATACGAGCAGGAGCTGACCTCTGGAAAAGAAGGTGCTTGATTGATCTGTTATTAATGTTCACAATACACAATAGTGGAATAAAAACACCAGGATCATACACAGCCACTTAAAACAAACATTTCAAGGTCACAGTGAGAAACCTCATTCAAAGGAGCAATAGTTTGTCAAAAGAATTGAGTCAGACTAGATAGAACTACTTTGCA